GCTGTATTCTTTCTGCCATGTTTTAACCGGCTACTAGCACTCCATAAAAGTAGAAGAAATTATAAGCACTTTCATCAGCAGTTGCTTTTCTTTTATATTCCTGGCTATTTATTGCTTTCCTAGTTTTTCTTTCTTCCTTGATATTTCTTTCTTGGCTCTGTTTAAAGGTTATTGATTGCTCTGCTCCTATTTTGGACTGGTCTGTACTGTTGCCTTGCCAAGAGACCCATTACCTGGACTCTTTCCACGTTATCAGGATTCTGCGGGACCTACCTTTTTTGCTGAGGCATCCATCCTGCAAGTAACAATTGAGTATAGCCAGATGCCAGCCATCATTAAGGCAGACTATTCACTGGTGCCATGTGGTTTATGGGGATCATATTAATTGCATGAGTTCACCCAAGCTCAACTGTACTACTTAGTTTGTGGAGACATGCTGTACAGCCATGAATTGCAGAGTGGCCTAAATTTTGCCATATTGCTTTTTTTTTTTTTTAAACCCTTTGAAAACACATAGATGGAAAAGGATTAGAAATCAAGCAAAACCCTATCACAAATGTCTATGAATAATTTACAGGCCATGGACTTTGAGGTCCATGAGGTCAACACAAATAATGCATTATGAAAAAGAGATTTCAGCATTTTATACATCTGACTACCCCAGTAGCTTAAAATTAAACAGGTTTTACTCATTTGAGACAACATAAATTTGCAAGTCACTGTTTCGTGTATCAAATAGTGTTCTGTGAAAATATCAATATCATTGGTTAATATAAATGAAATTAATTTTTAAAGCTGGGCTAAAGGTTGACATATGAAAAATTGCATTACTTTGCAGAAGAGAAATTTCTGTCTTCTAGTGAAATTTCAGGTCAGGAGGGCAAGTAATTTTCACAATCTTCAATGGGAACCAGTGAAATATGAACTTCATTGTCACCTAGCCCCAAGGCGATAAGATAAAATGAGCTGATACATCATTTGCTGTGGTTTTATCATCCCTTGTAGTAATTGGAAGAGAAAACATAAGACTCTCCCCCCACCCCCGCACAATTGTCTTGCCACCTTATTCAAACCTAAACCATTTTGGTCTGATCGATGCAAAGGTCACAAAGCTTTTTATTTATTTACTTACTTCTTAAATTCCTTGTGCTTGGTAAAATGTCTAGTGAAACATTAAAATAATGAATCTGTTTAATTGCATTTGTCACCTAGGAAAGAACTGGATGAGATTGTATATGAATTCACAGCCAGGAAAGGGGGCAAAAGAATGCTGAAGATAGTAGCTGCTTGAATAAACGCATGACGATTAAACAGTGCTTGAATTAAGCATGCAACTGATGGCTCAAACATCTTTCCTTTCTTCATTAATATCTACATACAGCATTGCTGTATTAGCATGTTTAGGTGTCCCTTAGGAAGCAACACATGAAGCTTTTGTTTTTCATATATAGAATTCAGGGGCATTTTGTTACTCAACTAATTAACTATGGATCACATGTACATGTGAATGTGAGATTTCATTGTGATTGCAAGAGATAAATGTTTTTGGGTGGTTCCATCTAAAATCTTATTAATTTTTTAACTGTGACATAATGATTTCTATACATGGTACGAGTTACTGATTTCTGTGTTTTGGTTCCTGACCAAATATGTGTAATGAGGTTCTCTATAATATGGCAGTTTCATGGTAGAGAGCGTTTTATATTTGCATAAAATCTTTGCTTTCTAGTTAAAATGACATGTATGTTGATTCATATAAACAAATGCCTTCATTTTTAAAAATTATATATGGTTCTAGAAGCTTTTATGTGACAGGCTTCTACTAAAATCTCGAAATAATGATGCTAATGATGGGTGCTTCCAGACAGAGGGTTTTTACTACAGTTCTCAGTAAAAAGACATTGTGCAGCTATCCCATCATTTTTTCTTAATAAACTTTTGTCTGTTATGATAAAACAAGTAACAGAGGGAAAATGTGGTAGGGCTGCAAGTGGAAGGCAGTGATATTTGGACTTGCATACAGTACTTCCATGCAGTGCAGTTGCTTAGTAAAAACCTTGTGTAGAAGCATCCTTCTGTACTGGGAGGAAGGTTTATGCCATTCACAGAGCTAACATTTGTTACTTATTGTCTGTGCCCATATTCATAGAAGAAATAAGCCCTTGTAAAATAGTACTCTTTGGGAGAAAAATGCAAACAAACAAATTGGGGCACAATCCACCTTTTCATAGTGGATTGTATAGGAAAGAATAAAGAATAAGGTTGTTAATTGAAGGCTAAGTCTGCAACTCTATACAGTCTTATCTGACAGCAAATCCTGTTTCTCAACAGATTGTGTTGTAAGCTATCTGTTTTGCAGATGAATATTTCAAGATACATTTTATTGAATCAATACCTGAAGTTTTACCTTTTCTTCATTTTTTAAAAATTAATGTCTGTAATAGGCAATCAGGAAATGTATGCTTGCTTGATGAAGAAAAATGTATTTAGGAATTTAGGGATACATTTTTTCAAAATACTGTACCTTAAGTTGTATATACTGGAGAAGGATATGTCTATGTTCTGTATCATTCAAACTAATATGCCTTGTGTGATAACAGTGGAGCTGCAGTAATGATGCAGTTTCTATAGCAACTGGTTCATTGGAGGGCTAGACCTCTGTCTAGGGCGCTGTCAGTATGTGTGGAGTTTCTAAGAAAAGAAAGTCCCGAAGAAGGTCTGCTTTCACCTAATCCAGTTTTAATTGAACTCTAGAGACTTTGAAGTGAAGCTACAGACCAAGTAGATACTATCCCAATAAGAAATGAAGGTCTGTTTTAGTCAGGATCAGCTGCTTCTAAATTGAGATCTTCTTCAAGTGAATGCCTCAGAAATTATTTGGTGCTACTTGTTGGTGGTTCTGTGGTTCTAGCTGAGAGCATACTAGAAGTCCAATTCTACTTCCTTTTATGACCAGGTTTTAGCTAGTTAATATAAATGTGAGCTTTTAATCTGCATTCTGTCAGTATTATTAGGAAAACCAAGTGGTATCCGAAGTACCACAGCTATTCGAATACTGAAGGTTTTATTTGGGGAAAGTGTTATATTAGATACATAAGCCAGCACCAATATGTCCACTTCTGAAAGCAGATGCATACGTATCTTTTCTTGCCACTCCTTGTAACATTTCATGATAGGCTATGGGTGTTGTGATCTCCCTGTAGTCCCAGTTTCTTCCAGTCCAGTCTATTTAATTGGCTGAAGCTTGCAGAAGCATGTGGGTTCAAGAGTACAAACCAAATTAGAGGGAACGTTGGTGCTGATGTAAAATAGCATGATGGTGGGCTGGGCCAAGACATTTTGTTGCCTGAGACAGAAAAGTAAAAACAGCTCCCTGCCCAACTCAACATACACAGTATCTGAAACTATGGATTATGTGTGCATGTATTTCATCATCCACAAAAACTCATGCTGTATTAATGAGTTGAAGTCTCTGTTTAAGATGGCCCAGTATTCCTTCATACATATCTAAACCCTGCTAAGTCATTGGCACAAGAAATATAAAGCCCCACAAATGCATCTCCTAGATTCTTGACAGTAAAAAAAGTAGTAAGAATAAATTTAAAAAGAATGTGGTGCCTTTTTGTGGTGTCCCAAGTCTATTCCTTGAAGTGGGTGCCTCACTCTTCACTAATGTAAATTCAGCTGTTCTTTGACATTTAAGTTGTACTTCCCTTCTTTAGTTAGTTAATTCGTTCACACAGTCATTCATTCACATCAGTGGTAATTTCTATCGATATATCAGGGATATGTTTCATATCACGTGTAATCTGGAATTTAAAATTCCCTGTTTATCTTCTTAAATTTAAAATTACCTGTTTTATGGATTGCAATGATTGAAAGCAATGTCTGTATAATTTCCTTTTGACCCCATTACAGATAAATTATAATTCAAATTCTCCTAAGTACAGAAAGGGCAAAACTGAAAGCCATGAAGTAAAGAATGAATTTATATATAAAAAAATTCAGATATGTAGGAATATTAAACCTCTCTGTCAGAATGGGATTACAGGAATTGTAACACATTATTTTGGTACCGTATGATACATAAAGAGATTATATTGTTTTCTATCATTCATGATAAAATAAACCTTAAATAGAAGTTTATAGTTCAGTAACATTAATTAGCCAGACCAGTTTATGATACACTTATCATACTAAATGTAATCATTTTGTATTAGATCAATTAGGACGTGCAGTAATTTAAAAATCAAGCAGTCATTATAGGAGTGAGAATCCAAGCATGATGGATAACATGACTGGGAGGAGGTCACTCCTGAAGAATCCATGTTAAAAGTAATAGCTTTGGGATAGGATTTCCCTCCGTTACATAAGAGGACAAATTCCCCACCCCCATGCTCTGCAGCTCTAATGCCATTTGCTCCTTCTACGAGCTGTTTAAATTTTTATGTGCATATTAATTACTTATGTGTGATTTACATCTTGTTTGGCCCTTAGACTGAGTAACAAGGGCCTTGAAATCAGTATTGTCAAATTTTATCTTAGTAATTGGATTGTTTTTTTAAAGTCATATTTGACTCTTTGCAGACTTCACAGTGATGCATCACTTGAGTTCACAGTTTCAGAGAAGTATGTTAATCTGTTTCCATGTATATAATAAAAACAGAAGATTTTTTTAAATTGTGGCGAGTTAAAGACTAGCACATTTATTTCACTTTTTGTAGGCCCACCTTTTGTGGATAACAATCCATTTTCTCACATGTTTTGAGAAGTGGTTTGTAATCCACAAAAACTCAAAACTAAAATAAAGCTGTTGGTCTTTAAGGTACTTTTCTCTTTTCTATTCTTTGACTGACAGTTGTCCCCTTCCTAAATCTGAATACAGAAAAAGTAAAGGGAAAAGCAAGCAGCAGAACTGTGTGTACTCACTATATGACTTAAAGTCCATGAAGGAAGAACAGCTACTTAATTTTTGCTTTCCCTCTTTTTTGAAAAATTAGGTACTTGCTTATACAGAAGGACTGCATGGAAAATGGCTCTTCTCCGATATTCGATCAATCTTTTCTCGGCGATATCTTTTGCAAAACACAGCACTGGAAATCTTTATGGCAAACAGAGGTAATATACTGGAATTGGGATCTGAGAGTTTGAAATGTATATCCCTTCGTATCAGCTTGTGTTACATTTCATGTTCCTGTTCCTTTACTTTTTTTTACTGGAGATGGACTGTATTTTAAAATGTGATTCATTATTTATGTTGGCTGCAGCTTTGCAATCTTGAGTGCATCCTTCCATCCTGCATATGAATAGCCTTTTCATACTTAGGTTGTGGAGAGCAGATATTGTGAAGGGAGGCAATTGGTCCTCTGTTTGCCCACCCACCAAAACCTTCTACATCTAGTTAAGATATGCTCCTATCGAGATGTAAATATTATTCCAGCAATCTAGCATGAATACAAACTAGGAAAAGGCTAGGGATAGAAAAAGAGTGAGGAGGTGATGCTGTTGCACTGAGTAGTACAGAGAGTGTTGTGTAGTGATTGGATTAGGATTTAGGTGATCCAGGTTGCAATTTCTATTGAGACATGAACCTCACTGAGCAAATTGAACTAACTGTGTGCTCTCAGGTTGACTTTACTAACAGGCTTGTTGTGGGGATGATGCTGGGGGGGGGAGAGGAAAGCAAAGTACACTACCTTGACCTCTTTTGAGAAGAGAGAAGACATAATTATAAATAACTGGTGGTGGCAACAGCCACGAGCATAGCTACTAATCCAGCCTTCTGAACAGTATGGCTACCAGCTGTAATCCAGCATAACTGGAGGCCATCAAGTTGCGAAAGCTTTACAGTCCTGATGTGGGAAGTATTAGTGCCTTGTTCCACCCCTCTGTGACATAGCTAGATGAAGGAATTGGCAGCATGGCCAGAGAAAGACATGCAAGGAAAGGAAGGATAAGTTAAAGATTATTGTACTTTTTCCTGTTGGTCCTCTGCCCATAACGAGTAAATTGACACTTGCTCACACAGAATTCTGCATGATTCAACACAATTCCCAACTAAAATTACCTTCAGTGTTGTATTTACATGTCCATAATCATAGATCTAATACCAGTTACTTCTTCATGAGAAGATACAGTACTTATTTTCCTGTGTAAGGGAATTACTAGGAAACTGGCAATCTCCAATTTAGTCTTATGTATATAAAAACAGAAGAGGTGCCCCGCATAGCGAGGTTAATCCGTTCCAGATTAACCATCGCTATGGGGAAACATCGCTATACGGATAGGAAAATGCCATAGGAACGCATTAAACTTAGTTTAATGCGTTCAAATGGCTTCTAAACTCACCGTTAAGCGATGTTTCCTCATAGCGCCGCCATTTTCGTGCCCTCGGTAAGCGAGGGCAGGGCACGAAAATGGTTGTGGCAGCCATTTTGGGTCGTCCAGCGGCCATTTTGGAACCACCGAACAGCTGATTTCCTGACATCGCAATGCGAAGATCGGTAAGCGAAACGCTTACCGATCGTTGCAATGCGATTTTTGGCCATAAAGACCATTGGTATGCAATCGCATTAGCGATCTCAAAAAAGAGATCGCTATGCAAATTCGTCATTATGCAGTGCGCTCGTTAAGCGAGGCACCACTGTATATCTTCCTTAATGCACAGGTGGAAGCAAGTAAAGAATGCTCTTTCACCAGCTGCTCCTTCTTCTGGACTGAGTAGTAGGTTATAGAAGGAGGAATTTCTTCTTCCCATGCTAAATAAAATCAACAGCATGGCAAATTGCTATGTAGCTTCTTGATTTCTATCAGGAAACGCAGCATCTGCCAGTGCTGTGTTTCTGTCATAGTTTGCTCATAATAGGGGGAAAATATTTTAAACTGTTTTAAAATGTAGTCTCCTAATAAATGCATAGAATAGCCTAAATTCATTTGCTAGTCCTAGACAGAAGAAACCAATTAATCTTTGGTAATTCCGCACTTATGTAGGTTACACTGACTTGATGTGGTCTATGCTGATACTTGGATTTAACTAATAGTTTTTTTTATTTCATGATGCTGTATCAGCATGGCTAGAAATAATTCAGGAAAGTAAGTTTCACTTGCTTTTTCATAGGTTCCCCTGATTCAAGTGGCTTGCTATAATTGTAGCATATTATACTGAGCAACTGGATTTCAGCCAATGTGATTTACATGAGAATTGATTTATCCTTCAACATGTGATTTGGTGGTCTCAGGACTAGGAATTTGATGTAGGAATAATGGAACCTGGATTCTTGCAGAAAGAATCTGATCTTTGTGTCAAGCCTATCACAACAAACAGAAATCCCAGCTGCTAATATATTCAAGTCCATTGGCTGGTAAAGACTGCTATAGTAGTAACTTGTGCAAAATCGTTTTAGGACAAATTAATTTTACTGTATAATATTTGTAGTCAAATAATATCATACTGGGAAGTACTGTAAAGATGTATGTTCTACGTTTCCAGAGTGAAGTCTTTCGTTTTATTTTGTTATGAAACTCAGTATGACAGTAAGTATTAATTATTTTTCTTTTTCACAGTTGCCGTTATGTTCAACTTTCCAGATTCTGCCACAGTTAAAAAAGTGGTTAATTGCTTACCTCGTGTTGGAATTGGTACTAGTTTTGGACTGCCCCAAACCAGGTACAGTGAGTCTTCTGGCTTTTGGGAATCAATTTCAGCTGGTACATTTCATAAGGCAATGGCCAAAAAAGCAGAGGAGAAGCAGAAATGTGAAAAAGGTCGCCTTCCTCTACCTGATTTCAGCTGCATTGATAAAAATAAAAGATAATGAGTAGGATATAATTTTCTGGGACCACATATTTATTGCCAAGGATGAATATCAGATGGATGACTTAGGGACTAAATGCAGACTAATTGCAGATATTCTCTACGAGACTTCTTTTCATGTATAAAGTAGATAAGTCAGAGTGCGAACAGACTACCCATATATAAACCCCCTCCATTTCTTGCAGCCATTTTCATGCCCACAGTGAAACTTATTCAGTCCACCATAATAATTAAAGTGGCTACTGACCAGTATGTGTTCACAAGTTAAAATTTCATGGACTTGTTTTGTTTTGTTTTCCATATATTTCCTTTAGAAATCTTTTCTTTTTTACTGCATTTTCTTATGACTTCTGCTAAAAATATAAAGTGTAACACTTTGTAACATTCTTATATCTTATACACTATGCTGACTTTTGTCCTTTAGGCGCATTTCTATGGCTAGTCCACGTCAGATCTTTAAAGCATCAAATATGACACAGCGATGGCAACACAGAGAAATTTCAAACTTTGAATACCTCATGTTTCTAAATACAATTGCAGGTAAATAATAGAAATTTGTCATAGAAGTACAGTAGTATGAATAAATTATTCATTTTGACATAGCACTTTCTGTAAATTAACAACAAACATTTTGAGTATTTTCTCTTTGCTTCTTAATAAATAAAGAATTAAATACCCTGAAATCAAAGACTAGGCCTGAAAATTAAGTTGTTGGGGTTCACCATTAGAAATGGGGAGACTAATGTTTCAGTCTGAAAATATTTATTTCATTGAATTAGCATTATTAATTTGACAATTGAATCATTAGTTTTTAAATTGCAAGTGAGGTGTACAAAAATGGGATGTGGCTTATCACTTTTGACTTCTAGTATCACATTTGCTATTGGCTTCTTCAAAAATGCACTTTTTGTTGCTTTGGAATTGCCCTCCCTAATCTTGCATTCCAATGTATGTACAGTTGAAAAACGTTTGCTTGTTCAACAGTACTAACTCCACACAGGGACAATAACTTCTCAGACTGCTTTCCAATGCACTTCTTTAGAACAACACTATATGCATTTTGTTTGAACGTATGGTCCTAACTAGAGATGAGGGTATTCACACACAGGTGACTTTAACAAGGGTTCAGATCCATGGGGCTGGACGGTCCACTCACCGATCCAACATGTACGGCGTGATTCTATGAATGGCTCCACAGTGCACAATCTGCTCACCACTCCTGGCAGGAGGCGGGAGGAGAAGCCTCACTGCAAGGTCGAAGAGTGGCAAGTGGATCACACGCTACAGAGCCATTTGTAGAATCGCACCGTCCGCATTGGATCGGGATCCGTGAGTGGACCCATGGGACTGGACCCTCATTAACGCCACCTGTGTGGGGATATTCATAGTGGTTCTTTTTTTCCTGTAGTTTTCGCTTGTTATCCCTTTAAATTATTTTAAAATTTATTTTTTGTTCAGCACTTGTTCAAAATTTAATATAAATTAATACTTTTTCTCCCATTTTTGATGGAAAAAGAAAAACCATGTCCAAGCTGTATGGGCAATGTATTAAATACCAGTGGTAAGAATTCGGTGGAGAGGTTCTACTGACAGAATTGTTTCCATCAGAAGAAGTGGAAGGGTGTGGCACCCACTGACACCCTCTTATGCTCACCCAAACCAGTTCCAAGGAGTCTGCAAAACCCTCCAAAATTGGTTTTCTTGCTGAAAATATGAGGGGAGGACAAGGAATTTCAATTGTGTTGAACGGAGCCAGTGAACTTTGGGTATCTAAACTGTGTTTCTTCTACTATAGTACTTGAAACTTTACTTTTATAATATACCATGAATTCTAAACCATCTTCCAAAATTTCTAGGGGGTGGGGCAGATAGTCTTGATTATTTGCAACAAAAAACACAAAGAGTCTTGCAGCCCTCAGGAGCATCTGCTCAAAAGGCCTGCAGTTCACAAAAGATCATTCTGAACAAAACTTGCTAGTCTTTAAGATGCCACAAGAATCTTGTTATTGACTTATTATCTCTACAGTCTTGATATGAGCAATATTCACTTGCTTTATATTTATCTTACAGTATGTGACAGAAAAGAGATTTCTTCTTTCTCCAAATAATTAAATTACATGGTAATCAGCTTAGATAGATGGTTCCCAACTTTGGGTTCCCATATGTTCTTGGACTAAAGTTATCACAAGCCTTCATCACTAGCTGTGCTGGCCGGATTTCTGTGAGTTGCATTCCAAGAACAACTGGGTACCCAAAGCTGGGAATCACTGGCTTAGACAGTGTTAACATCTGTTAGGTTCTGTAAATTGCCTTTGGTAGCTTCCATCGGGATGTCACCAACATGTAGACTGGCCAGAAAAGTCCATTGTTTTATTCTAGGAAGTTAGTTAAAATAAAGAAGCTGTGATAATTAGTGTATCCCTTTGGCATAGTGGATCAGAGTTTGTAATTCTTATCTTTCATATTTTGAACATCCAGAGTTTTTTAACTGCATTGTCTCTAAAAGGAGTATTGTTGTTCTTGTTCACTAGGACGTACTTACAATGACTTAAACCAGCATCCAGTATTTCCCTGGGTAATCACTAACTATGAATCTGAAGAGTTGGATCTTACACTTCCAAGTAACTACAGAGATTTGTCAAAGGTATTGCTTCCGTTGTGATATTTTCAAATATATGCTTAGACTGTATGGTGAGCCTCATTTTCTACTAAAGTATTCAACAGAGGAAGGGGAAAGGACTCTTAGAACTGCTGCTAAAAGTATGTCATTTTCCATTGTCAAACCATCTAGCCCAGCAGTATTGACTTGGATTTGAAAAACATGTGCAAATGCAGAGTGGGCATATTAAAGCTTAAAAAGTTCCAGCCTTTCCTGAAGATAAAGATGCACACTATGAGTAAACAGAACAGATGTTTTACACATGAAAGAATCCCCTCAACCCAACCCAGTTAGAGTTCCTATGGGTTTGAAAACACTTAAACTTTTGCCATCAGTAACCATTTGAAATTGTGTTCAGATGTATGACAATGAATTTTCAGCAAAATTGAGAGGTTCTTAGATAAATTAGAATCCATAATTTGATGATTTTGTTTTAATCTCTTGAAATTATCACAATGATTTGGGACTGGAGGATAGGGCTTTGAGATCAGATTACATCCATCCTATATTTCATATTACTTTTTACATTGTGTATATTGGTTTGTAGTTAGATGGAAGCAGGCAGGATACTGCAATAAGTGAACCCATAGGTTTCATTTACCAGAACAAACTAAACCAGTGTAGGAAGCTGGTGAGACACTAGGCTGGGGTGAAGAACCTTTGGCTCTCCCAGTATTTTGGACCACCTTCCTTATAACTTTTTAACCATTCACCATGATGGCTGGGAATTGAAGTACAAAATATCTAGAGTTCTTAAGTTCCCCATCTTCTTGCTAAGCAGAAAGGAAATACTAAACATTCATTCTCTAACTTCCAAACTTGTTTCACAAGCTTTTATTGAACACATTGAACTACGGATTGGAAAAGAGTGTCTCTGTACCATAGCTGATAATTGAACTGAACATTTTGTAGGCTGAAGGTAAACATCTGGGTTTTTGACAAAGTACTCTCAGTAAGTTGTCCATCCACTGGTAGAAGTTTGTGGATCAGATTTTTGACAGTAAATAGTAGTCTAATAAATTCAGTGTATCGTTTAGTGCCTGATGGCCCCTCTTTAGCATCAAAAGAGATGAGAAACTTTCAAAAGCACATGGACTCTATTGCCCACATACTTCATACAGATTTCCCCTGCCCCAACCTTTCCCCTATTCAGGATGGGTTGAATATCAGGCTATACTGTATTTTGCAGCCTCAGCAGCAACCACACTGTGAGCCTACTGGCAACAGCGGTTGAACAAGAGAAGTGGAAGATACAATTTGCTGACATGGTCAATATTGTTAGAAGGAGTTGCTTAATTTTCTGTAGCTCTGTCATCCTTTTTCCTGTCATAATTGAGTTTGCTAGCTCATTATGCCTACATCTGAATGCCCCCCCAGTCATGATGGTTAGCAATGTTAGCTGTTTTATATTTAAGTGCAAGCTGAAGTCTTTAGGGCTGTGGTGAATCCTTCCAGAAGGCAAAATAAGATCAAGATGGTAAAATGTGTTGTATATTTAATGATTTAAAATTTATGATGATAATTGGGCTTAGTGAGAAAATCCTGATTTTTCAACAGCTAAAAAATAAAAACCTAAAGATTCGACGGGGCCACAGTGCATGTAGTTTATATTTGTATGTAAACATGCATTTTTTAAAAAAACCAGAAATATGGCTTTTGCATTTATTTTATCCTCTGGTACAATTTCTTAGAAATATATCTGCCTTCAGTGTTGATTTATTGCTGCTGCTGCTTGCCGGGCCCTGTTTGTGTATGGCAGTGAATGTCTGTGTATTTGCAATCTGCATCTCACCTTACGATCCATTCTTCCTGCATTTAATTGCAGTTGATCAGGACAATACTGCTTTTATCTGCTGCATTATAAGTTCTATTCCTAATTAATGCTATCTTCTTATCAGACTCAATTTTTCAGAATTTGGTTAGTATACAGAATATTCTCATTGCATTGTCCTTAACTATATTTTGTTCATTCTTTGGTACTTGCATTCATTATCTAGCCATTTTAAAAAAAGAAATTAAGGTTATAATCTTAAACTCACACATACTAGGGTGTAAATCTGGCTGAGTTCAATAGACTTTATTGCCCCACTTTACGATGATCTAAATGGGGGAATTTCGCTTTGTGATGATCGGTTCCCTGCTTCGGGAACCAATTCATTGCAAAATGATGATTTTTCAACAGCTGATCGGCGGTTTCAAAATGGCCACCGGGTAAATAAAATGGCTCCCC